AAACTTGAGCATTATTTCTGCTCTTTGATTCTTACTTTCCTCGATGGAAAGATTGTGAGAAGAATGCTGAAAAAGTTCGAACTTTTCCACAGCGCGGGAAAATTGTATTCAGTCGAGCAAGTCTTCCTTAGAAGATCGAAAAACTTTGAAAGCGACACTCCTCAAATTTTCCGTGATTTGTATCAAATATCTTTGAAGAATGGGAAAGATTACTGAACACTAGAAAGCAACAGGATTTGATTTTTTCGGGGCTTTTTTTTGCTCAGAATTGGGGAAATCTTGAGATCTTGAGCTCTGTTAGAAGGGAGCGAGATGGCCAAGGAGTAAGAAAACTTGAAAAACTTGAAATTAGCTATTTTCAATGTTCTTTTTCGAATAAAGCGTCAAAAGTTCTATTTCTAGCACTTCTCTGTTGTTTATGATGCTTAAGTTATGCGAAACATATGTGTGCTTCTGCAGAAATGTAAATCAACACAAAGGATGAAAATTATAGTTGGCAAAGAGTTAACTATATTTTGTATAGGCTTTCTGAGAGGTATATAACTGCCAAAAAAAGCATTCTTTGGCAATAATAAGCATGAAAGGTAAAGAAAAAGTTTAGAAAAACGTCAGTGTAGATTTAGTGAGATATTTGAGCTAAATATTTAAACAATAATAAGACTTATAATGGAATCGTCAAACTCCTGTCAAAAATTATTTAATCAAGAATCTAAATGTTTCCTAAGAAAGAAAGTTTTTCACTAGATGAATATAAAGTTATGGAAATAACAAAGTAATAGCTAGGCGACTCTGATATGCTCTGAGCCATAATTGAATTCGAAAGGAAGACGATGCAAAACAAGAAAACACTCAACTCACCTTCGTATCTTTATAGATCAGCTCGAGCTTGAACCCATCCAGAATGCAGGAATGATTTTGAATATAGTTTAGCGCAAGTTGAATAGCTGGTTTAGCGTCGAAAAGCTTTTTATCCAGCGATTTGGTCGGGGCACTGTTTATAAACACCCCAAGTGGTACGGGGGTTCCTCCAACACGGGGTTTACATGAGAGGGTGGAGAAGGTCGGGGCTAGGGTAGTTAGGCTGGCTAGT